CAATCTGCACAGCAGCATCGAACTCGCGTGCCAGCCGCGCTCGGCACCATGCAAAAGAGTGCTCGCCTGGCATTGCACGCATTGCATCAACTGCCTTGAACTTGGAGTACACTGCTTGACATACTTGTTCAGGACCATCCACTTCGCTCTGCTCGGCAAGGATTACTGAAGTTCGCATTCCTGTTAGCTGCCTTGCACTTTTGGCATTGCCTTTTTTGTCAGGAGTTCTAGGACGAGCTCGACATCGCGATCAACAATCAGGCACTGCACAGCTTTTCAAGGTTCGGCCCGGCCCTGAATGCACTATCTTTCGGCTTGGTCGCACAGTGCCTTGCTTTGCACTGCAGTCAAGTCTCGCCCCGCATAAGTTTCAACAGCTCCAGCACAGCCAGCAATGGATTAGCACACTCCCGCAGCCATTTTCCTGCTCAAACGATCCAAACAATGAGACGCCGATGGGCGTTGCAGAAACACCATCGCACAGCACCAGCACCGTCATCTCCGATCGAGGTCGAATCTCAGCCTGCATCGCCTCGCAGAAGCCTCGCAGAGGACTTCGAAGCACATCTGGCCTCGCTGGCCTCGGACACTGCACCGCCATGCTCAGATTTTATTGAAGAGCCTGCACTGGCTCAACCCTCCACAACGCAGATCTTTGCAAAGCAACGTCTGCTGCAATCGCATCCTAAAAATGTGCCCGCTGCCCGGCATAGCCACGGTGACCTCCCCACAGTCGCCGACTTAGCAGTGGGTCCCTCGACGCATCGGGCCTCGCCTCATCGTAGCCCTTTCTACCCTCCGGTACCGAATGCGGACCGTGCACTGCAGGTTACTCCACCGCCCAAAAGATCCAGAACGGAACCCGCACTTCGCCTTGGAGGACTTCCAGTGCCACCGCTTCCATCCTTGCCACGTAGCCTCGCAGGCTCCACGGCAAAGCAACACATTTTGCACAGCTCACACAAAAGTCCGCCTGCATCGCCGAGACCATTACCTTCAGCACAGCTCCCGCTTGCACCTCCCAAGCCTCGCAGAGTAAAATTCAAGACCATGCGTAGCTCCCTGGCCTCGCGCATGCAAGTGTGCGGCACTCTTTGGCTGCAGCTGGTCTACAAGCTCGGCACAGCCTCGTTACTCCTGCAATCAGTGGAAGCAGCTAAACAAGCTTCCGAGCACATCCTGGCTGTCATTCGCAATATAACACGCCAGGCACTTTGGAAAGATACCTTCGCATCGCGTCTCTCTTTATGGGGTTTCTAGATAGCTCAGCAGTGGCCTTCCTCGACGTAAGTTTGCACTGCATCCTTGACTTCCTTGCTCTGGCTCGAGCTTCGCACAGCCAGGACCTAGATATCCACCGCATTAGCGCATCCTCGTCTATCAAGGCACTGCGGTGGTTTGTCAAGCAAACGCAATGGCTTTGCCTCAGCAATGCACTGGAAAGCCCCATCATCCGGGCATATTCTTTAAAAGGCACCACCAAAGACCGCCGCGAGGCACTGCCCATCCCTTGGGCCCTAATCGCCGCCTGGGAACAACGTGTATGTGATCCCAACACGCCCCTGACAACTGTTGTTGTGCTGGGCGCAGCACTGCTGGCCATCCACGCAAGCTTACGCTTTGGCGACTTGCAACGCATCGATTTCGCAAGCCTAGCACTTTCCACTACGGCCTTGCACGGCACGTGCTGGGCGACAAAAACAACAACGCACGGCCAACCGTTTGCAGTTACTCTCGCGGGAGTTACTGGCAGGTGCATAGCAACATGCTGGACATTGCACTGGTTATCCGCATTGCACAAGATTGTTTCCTCTTCCTCAGAGGACCCGCCTGATTTCTTGTGGTTCAGCACAGCACTTGACCATAGCTCGATGGAAGAAATCGCGCCAGCCTCCTACTGCACTGCACTCCTCAGCCTCAGATACCTCGCCACGCTGCCCTGGAAAATCCAAGGCAGCGGGCTCTTGCCCAGCGAAGCACGGCAACTTACGCTGCACAGCATGAAGAGCACTCTCCTTGCAGCCGCAGCGCAACTGCGAGTCTACAAAGACTTACGCCTGGCTCAAGGCCATCACAGAGACAGCGCCAGGCTATACAGCAGAAACGACACTTTCGACAGCCTCGACCTCCAGCATCGCCTTGCACACGCATTTAGCACAGGCTGGCGGCCCAACCGCAGCGTCGCCCGGGGCGGTCAGGCACCCATCCCTGAACCCCCTTTTCATCTACCCCCGGGCGACCCTTTAGGCAGATGCCTGGCGGGACCTTGGAAAGCTTTCGCATCCAGGCACGAAGAAATTCACGCGTCATCACAGCAGGCTATTGCGCCAACACAGCTCGACCCAGCAACGCAGAATGCTACGCAAAGCTCGCCTGACGTCATAGAGCAATTCTCGCAAAGCTCGCCAGACCCCATTGCACCCTTCTCGGACGAAGAGGCCTGGCTCGTTGAAAACGCAGCATTGCAACGTCAAAGCTCCGATTCCTCGAATGAAGCTTCCTCGGTTTCCTCCAAAGAACCGCTGCAAATCAATGTGGAAGGCCCTGCGCCGCTTTTTGCCTGCACAGGACCCTGGGGATGCTGGCACTCACTATGCCCACCTGATGACTCAGGCGTGCTGCGCACAGCATGCGGCATTAAGCTTGGCGCAGCCGCATTCACTTCAGACGCACCGCCGCAGCCGCTCTGCCGTCGCTCGGCATGCGTTGCACTTCGCAATGGCGCATAAAGAAGAAAAAAGGGTTCACTTGTCACTGTCGTCGAGCACCTGCTCTTTCACCATGCTTTGCTCGCTCAGGTCCTCGTCGAGTGCGCCGCCCCGCGCTGCACTGCAACTGCTCTCCTCAGCGAAACCTTGCCCCCGCAGCCGTTTTCTTGCTCGAATCGCTAACCTAAGTTTTCCGATTGCACTAGTCTGCAGAATGGAGTCTCCGGACGCACTCTCGGAACTCCTTTCACAGATGCAAGTGCCTGACGCACTCTGCAACGCACTGCGCAGCACCGGCATAGAATCGGTGCCAGACTTTGCCTTCGCTTACAACAGCACGGCAGATTTAGACGTGTTCTGCTCTGAGAAATACGAAGAGCTGTGGGGCGAGCTGGGCATCTCAGATCCAGAGCACAGCCCTGCAATGGCGCGCCTGCGCCGAGCCCTACGCCGCGCACAATCAATGACAGAGCTTGCAGACGCTCCCGCTACGCATAGCACTGAAAGCACAGCCCAAGCATCACTTAATGTATGGGCCGAGCACGCCCCGCCTCGCCTGGACGCTTCCAGCATTGCACAGTTGGTCAAGGATTCTCACACCAACTACCCGGGCGAACACCTTGACAGCGACGCCATGCCTAGCGTGCGCTTGCTTAGCATAATTCATAGATGGTTTTCCCCCGGGAATTCCATTAGTTGGGTGCCGTGGCAACTCCGCTTGTCGGAGAAGCAATACCAAGAACTGATTGAAAGCAAGGCATCGCGCACCATTCGCACTGAGGCACAGCTTTCCTCAGCACCGCACTGTTTGATGACACACCGGAAATGCCGGTAGATCATCTCAGACTCAGCGCTGCGTGGCTGGGCAGAATTCAAACAGTCTTCCGCAACGCCATAGCACTGTGCAAGGGAGCGCACCTTCAGCGCCTCAAGGCATACGACAAAAAGATTTCTGATTTGGCAACGCAATCGCCAAGCGACGCATCGCTAGGCACTGTCACCACGCAAGAGCTAGTTGCAGCCGATCGCAAGCTTTGGAGAGAAATATCCCTCCTTCACGCATCCGGATCGACATTGGACGACGCACTGCATGAGATGACAAGCATCCGCTCAGACATAGGAAACCTTCTGCAGTTGCGGGCTCGCCCTCCCCCGCCTCCGCAAAAGCCACCGCCTCGCCTACCCAACAAAGGCAACGGTAAAGGCAAAGGCAAAGACAAAGGCAACAAAGGCAAGCAAGGCGGTACACAGCCAGGCAAACGACGCATGCCCGGCGAAGGCACCTCACAAGAGGTCAAAACAGCGGATCTCGTGCAACAGCACGGCAACAAGACTTTCTGCATCCGTTACAACAAGGGGCACTGCAGAAACGCACAGTGTAAATATTTGCACGCGTGCGCATACAAGATGCCAAATGGCGAACCGTGCGGCAAAAGCCATCCCGCCTGTCAGCACCGCAACCCGCAAGAGCCGCCCAGCTCCTGAAAACCGCAGCTGGAGCTGGCCGGGCAGGTCCAGTTGCCGTCTGCCACTCCCCCGGTTGCACCGGCAGGGGTCGTCGCGCTGGGCGCGTCTTCCGCACCGCCTGCCAACACGGACAGCGCACAGCAGCAACACACAGAAACACAGCACTCAGCACCCAGCGCTGGACACTCTGACTCGGCGCAGGAAAATGATGCCACTGCCTCGCATAGCTCGGCCTCTGACTCATCTGAGTCTGAGGATAACTTGCCCGAAGCACAAAAGCACAGATTTTTGCTGCACAGCCTTGGAGAAGACCCATTTAGCTGTGATCGCTGCTGCCACGAAGCATTGCTCTCGCATAATAAGCTGGACGACGACCGCTATGCAGTATGGCATAGCCTCGTATGGTCGGGGGCTATCGGCGCAACCGTTCTTTTGTTTCCCGCACATACATTGGATTTTGATTCGCATGTCAGAATGTGCTCGTTGCTCCGCGCGGCACATCTTCAAGGCAGCCAGGTTTTCTTCGAATATCCAAGCACATGCGAAGAAAAAACCTCACAGCTTTACATACAACTATGTCAGGAATTAGCTGTGCACTGCGTGCAGATGAAGTTGCCCCCAAGCAACGCCTCGCGTATCATATGCTCTACACACCCATCTCTTGCAAGCATTGCAAAGCAGACCGATCCGTATAAACAGCTCTTGGAGCTCGCTTCCCAGGAATGCACATCGCATTTGCAATCCCCCATTAAACCTGCAGCACTGCAAAAGTACTTGCCAAGCTGCTTCCTGCCTCGCCGGCCCGCGGTCTGCGACGGAGCAGGCATGTACAGCACGGCAGATCATTCTGCCAATAATGTAAGCAGTAAACCTAAGCCCCAACCTCACGACCATTCGGAGAAGACCACGGCAGACCCCTCACAGGCAGCCGGGTCCAAGGAGGAAGCCAAGACCTACGAGTACAAGGGTGGCGGTCCCGTGAAGCTCTCTCCTGGAGTCACACAGTTTGAACGCAGGCTTGCTTCGCCGCTCCAGGGACTCATGAACGCTTACAGGGCGGCCTTCAGCAAGTTCGCCAAGGAGCCACTGGTGCCGAGGTGGAAGACCTTGGCCTTGGTCGACTCCAAGGAGGCTTGGCTGGGCCGCATCGTGTACCGTCGCGGTTCCCTCACAGACGACCTCCACAGGAACCCTCACAGACTGGGAGTGCGAGATCCACATTCCGGAGGAGCACGCCGAGAAGCTCTTGGAGACCTGGCGCCGCATCTGGTACGACCAATTGCGACAGCAGGTCAACCAGACGACTGTCGAGCAGGAAGCTTTTGACAGTGCCGCCCGCCTCACAGCGCACAACTACGCGGAGGCCAAGAGACTCAGCAGGTTCCTGACCAAGGCCATCCCAGAGTACAACGAAGGCAAGGACGATGGATTGGATCACTGGATCGCCAGGTTCCGGTATGAGTTCCCATGGCCGGTGAAGTTTGTGCATGTTCCACAGGATGCTGAAGAGAGGACACACTTCACAGGACTCAGGTCCAGAGAAGAACTCATGGAACAGATGGCGGCTCAGGAACAGGAGGCTGCCTTCACAGTGGACTCGGCGAGCGGAGGTGTGGGGGCGATGATCGACGTGGTTTCCCAAGTGAAGCGCACTCACAGTGACGCCGCTTCCGCTGTCAGTGGATTCAGTGCGGCCAGCAATCCATAGCTCTGGGCTTGCTCCCCCACAGCTCACCAAGGCCAGGCCGAGCTACTACCCGTTCGGCTCACAGGTGGAGCTCGAGGGCGCGGTAGAGGAAGCCAAGATCGCCCACATTAACAACGGTGGGGTCCCCACGGACTACCCACAGGAGGCCTGGGAGGCATGGTGCATCAAGCGCCGTGCTGTTGGCTCGCAGTGATGGTCCGGCAAGCGCGCCCTCTCTTCCTTGCAATCTTCCGCAGCAGCTGTGCGACCGCATTTTTCACAGGCTGCTGCCTCTTGTATCATAGCAGACCCAGACCGTACCACACAGCTGGGCAAAAACGAGTTGAACCGTTCTGGCACGCCACCTAAAGGCGAGCTGGGTGCGCTGAGCCACTATTATAACTCTAGTTCTTCTTCACCTCACAGTTTCGTTTTTCCAGGTTGCTCTGAGAGTTGTTCTAGTGTGCCTTTCGGCTACGAAGTGCCCCACAGCCCCCACACCACCCCCTCGGCACCTCCCCCCTCACAGACCCGAGCACAATACCACCGCCACCTCAGGTCACAAACAGCACGGCAGCAACGAGCACGCCGCCGCATCACCACCAGATCTCGAAGCAGGCGGGAGCACAGAGCATGGAGGCATGCTCTCTCCACCTTCCCAACCCCTAGTTGTGGTTTGGGCTCCAGAGCTAGGATCAACAACCAAAAGCCTTTATACGGCCCCACGCCGACTGCCCCAACCCCGGGCGGCTTACAGCCTGTTCCCACCAGGGTCTCCCCTAAGGGTCGTGGCCCGCAGTTTCGTTCCTGCAGACGTTTCGCTTTATGATCGATGGGTACACTGTCACACACAGTGCTGATGACAGGTCCAAACCTTCACGGGAGTGTCATTGATTACCTCCCCGCGGCTCACACCTTGCATTCTGGATATCGTTGCCACCGACGGCCGTTTTCTTTCTTTCAAGATAGACAGGCCCCTCTCACAGTTCAGGTGGTGTACGCTCCCCACAATCAACGTGAGCAGCCGGTCCGCGACGCATTTTGGCAGTCGCTGGGAGACATCCTTCACAGACACCCCGCCAGCGAACCTCTCTTATTGGTCGGCGACTTCAACGCGCAACTGCTCGACGAGCTTTCCTCCAATCGTGGCAGCGTCGGACCGCACGCCCACTTTGGAGCGAACGTTGCCGACGAGACCCTAGCCTCACAGGCTGGTGAGGACGACCCACTGTCCAACCACGCACAGCTGTTCGAGATGTCGGTCAGCCACGACCTATGCTTCCCGCAGACGTGGATGGACAAAGACGAGCGACATCGAATGACACACCAGCGTCCGAATGGCGACTTGGTCCAGTTGGACCACGCCGTCACCAAGTTCGCCTGGAAGAACATGGTCACCGATGTGCACACCCTCCCGAACGCTGCCCTCAACAGCAACCACTTCCTCACCAGAGTCACTCTTTCCCTCCACACAGCCTGCCACAAGCGCGCTGCACCCACCCCCAAGCTGACCAGACGCACAGTCCATTCTTTCCTACAACACACACTTCACGGAAGCCCTCCAGCATCAGCCAGTCTTCGAGGAGCCTGCCCCACCCGAGACAACTGCGGAGGATGTCCCCCCTCTGCCTTCACAGTCGTGCACAGACCAGCAGAGGCTGGACCGGCAATGGAAATCGATTAAGGATTCCATTCTACAGTCCATGGAGATGCACATCCCCACACTGACTAGCAAGCCCAAGCACCCTTGGATCAGCCAGCAGACGTGGGAGTTCATCGAGCAGCGCACCGCCGCCCGCCAGAGTCAGAACCTGGAGACGGAGCGTCAGCTCCACAAGACCATCCGCTCACAGGCCCGTCAGGACAAGCAACAATGGCTTAAGGATCGTCTTCAGGAGAGCGAAGAGACACTGGACGCCAGGGACAAGTGGCGTTGGATCAAGCGCATCCGCTCGGACTACAGGCCTCGCACTGTCACTCTGCATGACTCCAAGGGCAAGCCCACCAGCTACAGCAAGCAGGCAGACACCTTCGCCAAACACCTGTCGGAAGTACAGTGGGCCCCCCCGCCGGCAGACTACACAGGCCCCACCCACAGACTGACTGATGACAGTCCAGTCAACATGGCCCCCATCACGATGGAAGAGCTCAACAACACCCTCAAAGGCATATCTTCTCACAAGGCACCAGGCCCGGACCAAATTCCGGCGGAGGCCCTACAATGGCTTACGCCAGCCAACCGTCAACCGCTCTTGGACCTCTACAACGAAGCATTACTCACAGGCTTGGTGCCGGAAGAATGGTCAACGGCAGTCGTTGCAGAGATTCACAAGCGCGGCGCGATGGCGGACCCCAACAACTACCGCCCCATCGCCCTCCTCAGCACCTCTTACAAACTCTTCGCCAGGCTCCTTCAGAAACGCCTGGAGCAGGCGATAGACTCCAAGCTCCGACCCACACAGTACGGGTTCAGAGCCACCAGATCGACCTCACAGGCGATACACGTGGCAAGGAGACTGTTAGAGCGCGCGGAACGCTGCGGCTCAACCTTGTACGTGCAGCTTCTTGACTGGAGTCAAGCTTTTGACAAGGTTCACCCGCAAGCTGTCACGGTGGCGCTAGAACGGCATGGGGTCACGCCGGCGTTTGTCAATCTGATTGGCTCGATCTACAACAACCCCTCCTTCACAGTGAAGGCGGCGGGGCAATTGAGCCAATCGTCTCAGGCAAGCTCTGGCATTCGCCAAGGCTGTCCACTTTCTCCTTACCTCTTCCTGGTGGTCCACAGCATGATCATGGCCGACGTCGATGCAGCGCTGCAGCAGCATGGTCAGATGCTCCCGTGGCTTTTTAGCCAGAACCAGCCATTCTACGACCTTGCTTACGCGGACGACATGGCCATTTTCACAGGCACTGCGGAAAGAGGTCAGCAAATTCTGCACAAGATTCAGGAAGTCGCAGCCCACAGCAACCTCTCACTGAACCTCAAGAAGTGCGAATTACTTCGCTCACAGCTGGCCGTCAACCACATCCACTTCCTCACAGGAGAGTCAATGAAAGAGGTCACGCAGGCCAAGTACCTTGGCGTCGTCGTCAGCCAGGACTCTTCCAGCAAGGCGGACATCACCGCGCGGCTGGGAAAAGCGCGGAAGCACTTCAATACCCTGCACGCCTTCTGGCGACACACAGGTCTGAGCGTGGCCTGGAAGTTGCGCATCTACAACGCGGTCTTCATCCCCATGATTGTCTACGGCATGGAATCAGCTGCGCTCACCACAGCTGACCTTCACAGGCTCGAGGCCTTCCACTCACAATCCCTCCGCAAGATCCAGCGGATCAAAGCTACCTACTACACCAAGATCCTCACAGACAACCCCAACGCACAGACCATCCGAAACGAAGGCGTCCGAGCCCTGGCCGACCAACCCCCCCTCACTCACCACATCCACAGGGCACAGCTTAAGTTGTTTGGTCACGTTTTGCGAGCAACTCCGAGCAACCTGGAGCGAAACTGTGTTTTTACGAAGGCGTTTGTATATAGAGGGGGTACAGTACAGGCAGGCATTCGCCCGGGACGTCGTAGACTTCACTGGGCCGAGCAGTGTGCAGAGCTAGCATGGCACTGGCTTTCGTACACTTCACACGCCATGACTTCTCTCGCCCCAAGTTTTCCTTTTGCCTTCCTTTTACTTCACAGGCTGGCTGTAAACCGCCCGGCTTGGCTTCAGTTAGTGGGGCTGCCAACGTGCAAGAAGCTCCTCAGGTCTAGCGCGTTCTTTTCCTACTCACAGTGAGTACGCTGACTTGTGTTTGCTTAGGGCCGCCCAAAACCTAAGCCCCTTGCCAAACTAGCTAAAGCCTTTAAGCACTACCTTAATAAACACAGCCTTGTTTCTCACATTTCCCAGCATCTAAAGTCCGGCACAGACTCGCACCCGCTAAGCGAAGAGCACCGCATAGCTCTAGCTAATATCTTGCATGAGACAATGGCACCGAGCACCGACCGCGACCAATTCCTCAAAGTTTCCGAAGGGCAGCCTTTTCGCTTAACAGCTCTGCAGTACCTCGCACAGGCCATGCAAGACAAAGAAGCACAGCTCCCTCTCATCCTTGATGAAGGGGTGCCTACAGGAGCTTTCGGGGCTCTGCCCAGCAGTGGACAATGGCCACCGACGCAAGGCTCCTTGGACTTCGCTGAAGAATTCAGCCCCGCCTCGCTGGAGCATTGCAGAGGCAACTGGTTCCTGGCCGAAAGCAACCCTGCACTGCTACAGGAACTAGTCGAAGAAGAAGGGAGGCCGTCAGTGCGAGCGCTGATAGTCCCTTAATATCTTGAGCGTGAATTTTCTTGAAAAATCGGGCCTGGATTTTTAAAGAAAATGGCTGCCAAAAGTTTTCTGTAGTGTGAGCGCCAAGTGTTGCTATATTGCATCCTCTTGTCACCCGCGCTCGTCATCTCAAGGCATCTCAAAGCCGGTTTTGCACAAACGTCAGTGACACTATGCTGGACTTCACTGAACAAGCCACAAGTCTTGCACATGTAAGGTTGCAGAAATTTTTCTTTCGGCCGTCCCATGGACTTCGGCGACGCCCTCGCCGCCGGTTCTTCAGGCCGTTCCGAAGACAGCTCTACCAGCACCCGCGAGCTCCATAGCCAGCACATTTACGAACTCCAATTGGAGGTCAACGCCCTCCGTGCTGAAATCCAAACTCTCAGGTCCGCATTGCAAGCTCTGGAAGAGTCCCTTGCTCGTGCCTGGGTGAACCAGACCGGCCACCACCAACGTCTCTCGTGGCTCGAAGGGATCATTCAGAGCTTGCGGGCTGCCTGTCGGGTATTTCTTGAGCCTGGCGTGCAGCCTGCCTCACCTTAGGCCATGAATACCTTTAGTGCCAGCATCTTGCAGCAGCTTGCTGGTGTCACCCGCGAGCAGCTCGACGGTGCCTTGCCTCCGGCGCAGGCCACTGTTGGGCCGCCTGAGCTTCCGTTTGCACCTGTGCCCGATCTTGGGGATGCCTGTCCTGCAAATCCATCTCCTGCATCTGCTTCTGCGGATAACTGGGGGTTTGTAGGATTTACTGGTGACTTCGAAGGGTTTACCGATGACCTCGCAGTGCCTGTCTCTGAAGTCGAAGTCCAGCAGCAAACTCACGAGTTTCCACCTTCCCCTCCCGTAGGGTTTAACCCAAATCACTTCGAGGCGCATTTAGCATCCCTCTGCGAGCCAGATGAGCAAGCCCCTTCCCTCTCCCTTTTAGGGTCGGGAGATGAAAACACTGCTTGGTATGAAGATGTTAGGGCCATGAGTGAGTCACATTTTTCATTGGTGCCAAGTGCCAGCAAAAGAGACTTTGGAGAAGAGGTCCGTCCTGGTAGGATTGCTCGTGCTGTGGGCGATGAGCGCTCACGTACTGCCGTGGCATCTCCTGCCCTGCCTTGGGAGAGAGGAGTCTTCAGAGCCATCTTTGGGGATGATGGCTTGACTAATCCCTTTGATAACCTTGTGCTTAAGATGCCTGGCCCCTTAGTCCCAGCACATGTGCCGCCGGCTGAGCCAAAGATCCCCGAGCCTCCCATACCTTCAGCTGACATTGCGAGCAGGGCATTCAAATCCTTCAAGGATGTACATCCGAGCGACGAGCGTGATATGGTCATGGACCGAGCGGTGTGCAAACTGCAGCACATCATTTGCCGCACCGATGTTGACGAATCTCACCGAAGGTGATATAGTTTTATTTTCCTGATTCCGAATTTTGAAAGTTTGACTTTCAAGAGCCCGAAGTTTTCCCTTAATCGTTTTCCAGTCTTTGGAACGATGTGGAATCTTCCTTTGCCCGTGCAACATTACGGCTCCAGGGAGGGAGGTGGGAAACCCCGTAGCTGGGCAAAGGCTCAGTTTTTGTCGTTGCGGGGGGCGTGGTAGTCTGTGCATGCAGGACATTGTTCTTGCTTTTCTGCTGCTGGTGGGCAGAGTGCAGAGACTTCTCGCAGTTTATAGGCTTTGGTTACACGAGGCCCGTGGTCGCCTGGACATTGCTTTCGTTCAAATAGCAGGCCTGCACTCCTTGCTTCTCAGTTTCGGCAACAGGCTTGTGCGTGCTGAAGGAAACATTGAGGAAGCTCGAGGTGAGGTGGCCCGCACAATCCTCAACTTCAACGGCAGACTTGAGTCTGTCGAGGACAGTCTGGAGGAGGGTCTTGAGAACCAGGCTGGTCTCCTGAGAAGCTTCGAATCTCAGCTCCAGCATCATCACCGGAGTCTCTTGATTGTGGGGTTCATTTTGGCCCTCCAAATTGTGCGACTTTGTGCGGCACCATGTCTAACAGTGCACTGGCTGCAGCAGTCTTTGATGCCGGTCTGGAGAATTCTACAGTGACGGCTCTGGTCATGCCTTGGGAGCAAGGAGTCTTCTCTCAGATTTTTGATGACGCGACGACTCGGCTGGTCCCGCTTGTTGCCAGGCCGTCAGATGTCAGGCTCACTATGGAAGAGGCATCTGTGCTTCCTTCCAGCGAAGAAGCCTCCAGATCCAGTGTTGCAAGGTTTCGCAGTTCTTCTTCAGAAGTGGTTTTCTTGAAGCATGCTGTCACAGTGATGGCCAGGAAAGTCAGACTTTGTGATGAAGACATTTTCGAGCTTCATGTTCAAAGGTTCGAGCTAATCCTTGCACACTCTTATGAAGCCTCGATTTTGGGGCGCAGCTTTCGAGGAGCAACCCTGGAAGAACGGCACACCAAGGTTAGGCTGGCACTCGGAGGCAAGGCGCCTCGCACACTGCAGAAGAGGTATGGCCAGTCTGCCAAGCTAGTCTCCTGGGCTGAGTTGGAGTCGGTGAAGGCCTTCCCCATTGATGGGCAGATTGCTGAGGAGTTTCTCCGACATCTTGTTAGCTCGAGCGGCAGGCATTCGGTGCTTACTGGTGCAGTTGAGTGTTTTGCTTTCCTGCATCACGTGCTTGGAGTTGACATGGAGCTGAACGCTTGTAGCAATCCAATCGTGCAGGGGATCCTTAGGAAGGCTCGCTTGGAACGACCTGCAAAGAAGCAGGCGAGAGCCTTGCTTGCCAGTGAAGTTCTTGCCTTGGAAGCTCTACTTGCGGATGAGTGCCGCCCACTCATCGATCGGTTTTGCGCTGGAGCCTTCCTCTTTGCATTGTATGGCCGGGCCAGGCTTGGTGATCTTAGGGTTCTTGACTGCTTCATAACCGACCTTCTTGAGGACAGTGCTAGCGGTTGTGGCTACCTTGAGGTTTTGTCTCTTTCGCACAAGTGCCGCAGTACCAGCAACAGCCAGGGTATGCGCATGCACATTGTGGTGCCTGCCAAAGGCATCGGCCCGAGGTGTTGGGGCAAAGACTTCATCTCGGTTGCGAGGGAGCTGGGTCGTGACCTCACCAGCATTGCTTCGGGAGAGCCTTTACTGTATATGCCAGATGCTCATGGGAACTTCTCCAATGTACCTGCTGACACTGATCGCTTTGCCGCTTGGGTGCAGGATCTTCTGTCAACGGTGCCGGCCTACAGCGGGGATAAGATCTCAGGGCATTCAGCAAAGGCCACGCCGTTGTCGTGGATGGGCAAAGCCGGAACAGATTTTGATACGCAAACCCTCCTTGGACACCACGTGCTGGTTGGACGCAGCAGTGCCCTGACCTATGCACGGGACACGCAGGCGGCTCCGGTCCGAAAGTTTGAGGCTCTCATAGGCGATGTGCGCCGAGGGGTTTTCCTTCCTGACTCCACGAGGTCCGGACGTTTTGCACCTGAGGAGCCTGCCGACTCCGATCCTCCTTTGGACGGTGTTCTGTTCAGTGCCAGAGACATGTCTAGTGCATTTCCCACTCCTGATGAAGGTGGTCCTGAGCCTGTGTTTGCTTTCCCACCGTCACCGCCTCCTCAGCTTGATGACTCCTTGACTCCTTTTCCGATGCCTGGTTTCTTGGATCAGGCTGGTCAGGATCCAGAAGGCGAGGCTGATGCTGACTGGCTGGGAGAGCGGGATTGGTATGCTGAGGCAGCAGCAGAGGAGCAGGCGCAGCAGCAGGAGGACGAGCCGGACTTGGAAACCGGTGCTGAGGGTTGTGATGCAGAGCCTGGTGGGAGTGAAAGCTCCTCCAGCAGTGAGTCATCTACTTCTGAGTCGGTTGATGAGAGAGTTCAAGCTTCTGGGGAGAGGGCTGGCGAACTTGAGCATAGAAAGCTCAATGAGTGCCTCATGTACAGGCATAAAACTACCAGGACTGTGCATCTGCTTCCCGCCGGAGCCTCATCGGGTCGCTTTGTGTGTGGCCGCGAGTGGAATCAGGCAATTTTTAAACCGGTTTGTGGAAGTGTGAGCATTGCCTCCCTTGAGTGCAAGCAGTGCTACAGAGGCAGGTCACTGCGGGATCTGGGGGCCCTTAACCACGCCCTTGAAGTGGCCACTAAAAAGGCCCGGGTGGAGGGATCTTCTTAAGTTGCTCATGGCAGCCTTGGTGTATCCACAGCGTGACCAGTGCTCTTGGGCACAGGCAGCTCGGTGATGCAATGAACCAAGGCGTGACCTCGAGGTCCTGCAAAGGGACTGCTTGGTGCCTCTTTGTCGCCTGGGATGATTTCCCGGCATGGCAGGAGCACTTATTTCTAAACCTGGCGAGTGTGGCAGCCTTCAGAGCAACATGGGCGTGACCAGCACTCCTGTGCGGGCAGCCCGAGCGCTCACCGTGAGGCTTGACCTGCCACTCGTCGCAAACATTTTGCCATGCCCCCTGGGCTAGACGAGATCGTCCTCGGCTTACAGGAGTGCAAAAATCGCTGCATGGGCAAGATGCTCTTTGCCCTGCGTGATGTGCGAATAGATAGAGAGAGGTTGGATGCAACTTGCGGCATACCGCGAAGTGCTGCATGTCCCCCCTCGATGCATTTGGATCGCTGCTCCATCAGTGTATCTCAATTTTGCATGGTTCAGGTGTCATTGCAACTGCAGAGCTTGGTGCACGCTTAGTTTGGTGCGGTAGACTTCTGCAGATTCTGGCAATGGCGACCCTTCTGAAGAGTGAGGCTGCGTTCGATGAGCGAGCTCGTGAGTGTGGGCTACCGGATGAGGAGCTGGGGCGGCTGAAGACTGCGGGGATCAAGACGATCTCGCTCCTAGCTTTCTCGACCAGTGCTCCAGGTGTTCAGCCTTCTGAGGAACAACTGAGGTCCCTTCTCCGACCGCTGGCACCTGAGTCGGTGAGTGTTGGAGTTGTGGCAGCAATCCGACACTTGATGTTTGAATGTCAGACGCTTTGCTTGGCTCACGTCAAAGCTTCAGTTGAAGGAAATGAAAAAAGGATCGAATTGGCACCAGCTGAGAGGACCACTCGGATACTCCAGCAGAAGGCCAAAATGAAGGGTCTTACCTTGGTTGGGCAGCTCGAGTGCTCGTATGCTTCTTACGACTATGTGGGGGCGATGATCGAGAAGGATAGCCCTATGTACTTGGAACCGCACCGGTTCGACACGAGAGCAGCTGAGGTGGCGCGTGAGCGCCCTGGCAAAGAGCTCATTTTGGACCACAACCGCATTTCTGTGCGTGACAAGGCAGATAAATACAAGTGCGCGATACAAGATCCATTGGCACTGTCGCAAGCCCTGCAGCGACGGGCCCTTGCTTCCGATCTCATGGGGGCATGCACTTACGAGGCGATGCATGCCTGGCACTCCTTTCTTTTAGACAGGATGCAGCAGCAGGCTCCGCCGGGCTGGTCACGCCCATCGATTGAACAGGTGCTCAGAACCGACAGGGCTGGTTGGGTACGCATGTCGGAACAGGTGAAGTCACTTCGGAGAGATTCGTCGGGCAATTTGCCCCTCGATGATGCCCTAGGGAAGTTGACGAGCGACCCTCATGTGTTGTTCCATCTCTTACCCCTCAAGAGCTCTGAGGTTAAGCCCGATAAGCCGGATAAGCCACCAAAACTTCCACATGGTGATCCGGATAAGAAGAGAAAGCCGAACAGTCCCAACAAGCAAGATTCTGGCAACAAGGTCCAGAAAGCAGAGCTTCCGGACGAGCTTAAGAACATTACTGGATTGCGGATGGCAACCGAGGCAGGTGAAAAGTTCTGCTGGCCCTTCAATTGCAAGAAAGGCTGCAAGTTCGCAAAGGCTGGCAAATCCTGCCGTCGTGGAATCCATGCTTGTATGCGCTGTGGCAAAAATCACTCACTGCGAGAATGCAAAGAGTGACGGTTGCCACTGCCTGAGGCGGATTTTTCAGGTCAACCTGTTGTGTTTCCGCCCGCTGCGCCGATGACAAGTGCAGCCAAGCGTGTGAAGGTCTGTCAGACCGGTGAGGCTTTGGAAGCTTCACTTGACTCTGCATGCGACCCTAATCCCTTTCCCGCCGGTGCCCTGCATTCGAACCAGCAGGATGCCCTAATTAGTCATAACCACTGTGCCAAACGATTGACTTGCAAGTTCATGGATTCAGTTTTGCCTCTTGAACCGGCTTCGTCACCTCCGGCTGAGACCATTCACCCTGCCGAGGTGTATGCTGGTCAGATTCTGAAGCTAGCACGAGCGCCCGCCCGCAGTGAGGTGTTGCACCTGTTCAACCTCCTTCCGAAGGATAAACCCACTCGTGGTGAGGGTACGGGATGCGCTTTCGCTTGTGGCATGTATTGTCAGGGACCCTTGCTGGGCCTCCGGGCCAATACCAAACGTTTTCCCTTGGCGTGCTCTGTGCTAGCTAGTTTTGTGAAGGCAATCTCTCCTGATTTTCAATTTTCCACAATCAACATTTTCTTCAATGTCAAGACGAGTCCGCACGTTGATGCAAACAACGCTCCCATGCCAAATCTTGTTGCGGGCCTAAGCAATTTTCAGGATGGGCAAGTCTTAGTTGAAAGCTCAGGAGGCCCACGTGTGATTGAAACCTCTTCGGGCAAGCTTCCCGCTGTTGCGCTGGAGGTGGCTAACACGCATGCCATCTTCGATGCTTATCGCCTTCGACATGCCACTGCTGCTTGGCAGGGTGATCGTGTCGTCCTTGTTGCCTTTTCGGTGCGCAATGCCTGCATGTTGAGCCCATGTGATCTGTCAACTCTACAGGAGCAGGGTTTTGCTCCCAATCTGGATGCTGTCTGCTCAACTGATACTCCACCTGTTGTGGTGCCGCCAATCAGCAGCAAGTGCCTACCTGCTGGTGCAGAACAGAGACTTCAGGGTCATAGCCTTCAGTCGATGCTGTTCCTTCAGATCTTCTGTGGTGCGGGTCACCTGGCCGCTGCGGTTAAACGTAAAGGAATTGGACAGTGCCTTGGCGTCGCCTCCCGTGTCACTGGTGCCACTCGGTGTCCTGTTCTCCCGCTTGACCTTAAAAATGAAGAACAGCATGAGCTCCTGTGGGATGTTCTCAATCGCGGCAACGTTTGTGGTGTGCACATCTCGCCGCCTGCGAGTGATGCACAACTTTGTGAGCTGTCGGCCCGGATCCTGAAGTGGTGCCACGGCCGTGGCATTCTCGTATCAGTTGAAAACCCGGCTGCAAGCTCCGCGTGGCAAGGCCCCCTTGGCAAAACCTGCCTCGCCTTAGGCCTCCTCAAGACCTCATTGCACCAGTGCATGTTCGGGGATCCTTGTGCTAAGCACTCAACTTTCTTCCACAACTACCCTGAACTTCGTAGGTTAGGAATTGCTTGTGATGATTCGCACTCTCATGCTCCCTGGCAGTCGGGTGCCTTGCACGTGTACCCACCTGACCTATGCGATGGATTTGCTAGAGCATTGCTTGAGCGCCTCAAAGCCTTTGGGTGTGCGCCATCCACTGTGACTGATGTGTCCATGCACCGTGCTGCTCAGGTTGCTGCTGCCAAGCAGCCGAAAGGAAAACGCATCCCGCCGATTGTGCCGCCTGTTGCTGGCACTGTTGTGCTTCGAGGACCCGGTGCTGTCATGCCACCCACTGGTGTCTTAAAGTCCTTTACGCCATTGTCTTCAGAGCTTGTCGTCCTGCCGCCCATGCATGGCCTGCCTGCTGGAAGCAAGTGCCTTCGGTCAGTGCTCTTCGGGGGTGGGGCTGACCTTCCTTCGATTCGGGAAATGACTTTCTCCGTGCCAAAGTCTTGTGAAGATTTTGTGCAGCAAGCATGCTTCGCTGAGCATCCCAAGCACCTTTACAGTGGCATCCCTGATGTACTTGCGAAGTGTGTCAGCAAATGTGCTTCAGAAAGTTACGAGAGTCTTGGTCGGGAAAGGACTGCTTCACTTCGGCGCTGGGTGGCTAGGGCAAAAGAGTTGTCCGAGCAAGTTGATCCAGATCCTCCTGTGGGTCACTGCGCGGAGGTCTTAAAGGGCAAGGACCTTAGGCTGTTCAAAGAAATGCTTGATGAAAGTGGGCATGTTGACAGTGGGCTGCCTAGTCAGGTGAAGAGAGGCTTTGACATTATGGGTCCATTGCCCGCTTCTGGTGCCATGCCTAAGAAAAACACTTTTGCAACTTTGACGCCAAAGGAGGTCCGTGACAATGCATCATCGATCAATAAGGCAATCTTGGGAGCCTGCCGATCTTCCAAGGACAAACAAGTTGCCGAAGAAGTTTTCGCGCTCACCTGTGATGAGAAAGAGAGGGGATGGCTTGATGGGCCGCACGACTTTCCTTTGCCAGATGGTGCTGTGCTCACTCGCAGGTTTGGCATTCGGCAAACAAGCACACAGGCTGATGGTTCGGTTCTTGATAAAACGAGGCCGATTGATGACTACACCGAGAGCCAAGTGAATCTCACTAATGCCAGCGTGGAGACCATTTCGCCTCATGGTGTGGACACCATTGTTGCTGGGATTTGCCGGCGCATCACCTCGAGGCCTGAGCAGGCTGAGCCTGAGGAGCTGGTGGCATGCACAGTGGACCTTAGAAAAGCCTATAAGCAACTTCCGGTTTCGCTCGAGTCGCTGAACGATTGCTTCTTGTGTGTGCATAGCCCTAAGTGCAATCAGCCTTCCATATACCGCACACGTGTGCTGCCCTTCGGGGCCCGTGCTGCAGTTAACGGATTTTGTAGATGCTCGCTTGCTTTGTTTTGGATAGGGGTTGTCCTGTTGCAGCTCCACTGGAGCTGCTACTTTGACGACTTTTTCTTGGTGGCAGCGCAGTCGGAGGCAGAGCATGTGCATTTGATTCAACGGGGTTTCTTTGACTTGCTTGGCTGGTCTACGTCGTCCGAAAAGGACTCGGGATTTAACTGCCTGGCTCGAGTGCTAGGGGTTTCCATCTCGTTTGCCGACGTTAGGGCTGGTCTAGTCGTAGTTTCGAATACGGAACACAGGATACGCGACTTGAGCAATCTTCTTGACTTGTTGGTATCAAGGGGCTCTGCATCGAGTCATGAGCTGACAGTGCTTCGAGGCAGACTCTTGTTTGCTGACAATCAGGTCTTTGGCAGGCGTGCCCGGCAGGTCTTCTCTGTCCTGTCCAAAGCCTGCTCTTGTAAGAAGAATGTCAAAATAACTGGTGAGCTGCTGCACGCGCTTCTGTTCTTCCGTGATCACATCGTGAATGGTGAGCCAAGGCGTGTCAGTGCTTGCAAAAGGGAAAAGCTGACCCTCTTCACTGACGCCTCCTTTGGAAGCGAAGGTTCAGGACTTGGTGGGATCCTTTACGATTCAGCTGCCAAGCCTCTCAAGTGGTTTGCTGAGTGGATTGATCCTTGTGACCTTGTCCCCTTCGGCTCTGATGCTAAGGAGGGTTTGATTTATGAGTTGGAGATCTTCGCAGCAGTGCAAGGTGTCGTGGACTTGCTCAAAGGCAAGTCGAACATTGACCTAGTGCTGTTTGTGGACAACGAGTCCGCTTTGTCATGCTTGATAAGTGGCCGCGCAGAAGGCATTGCAGCTTGCATACTTCAGAAGCTTGTCTGCTTCGAGGAAGAGAACGATATCAACATTTGGTGTGAGTGGGTGCCATCCCAAAGCAATCCTGCTGATGGTCCATCCCGGAAGGATTACAGCAATCTTGATTCGTCTCTTCGTGTGCGGCTCACTGCCTTGACACCTTAGGGCCTGTGCGTGGGGTGTGGAGGGCCCGATGTGTTCGAGCAGTGAGCTCAGTGACCATCGGTGCTTCTTCTTACGACTCAGACTTTGTCGCAAATCCCATTGCAAAACGAAGGCTTCGGATGTCACGCGAATTTTCTTTTATAGACAATCTCACGATCCGTGATACCCTCTTATCCTCTAGCCAACAGGTGAGATGCTCACCGTCCTTTCGTTTGAAATCTTTGCTCATGTTTCTAAAAATTTTATGAAGGAAAGGTGTGGCGCTTGATCTGATGTATTGCTTTTCATGCCATGCCACTCTTCGACCTTTCGTTTTATGCATGGAACAAATTTTTGGAGATGCCCATGCATCGACATTCGATGACTCACTATGTTGATTATATCCTGCAGGATATGCGGCTCTGAAGGCAGAGCGATTTTGAAAGTTTTGAGGCCTCTGGGTGTCGGGTCTTTGTGCAACCTCAACAGGCCCTGCGAAACCAACACTTCGACGTTGGGGCTAGCCCTCCGTGCAAGCCGTCCCCTGACGGGACGGTGGATGGACCCGGCAGCCGAGCCGGCTGCTGAGCCTGACTCCGAGGCCGATAGCACGGTTTCGACGGTGAGTGCCATCAGTCGTCACCTTGCAGACTTGCAGCGGGATCATTGGGCTTTGCAAGAGCAGTTCCGTGCAGCACAGCAGGACACACAGGTGCTTTCGGACCGCTGCGAGTATCTTGAGGGCAGGATTCGCGTGTTGGAGTCCTTTGAGAATCGCATCCGAGCATTGGAGTCGGCCCGGGATTATACAAACCATCGTGTCGTGTGGCTGGAGCGCATTGTGCAGCGGGTTCGCGCCTTTGCTGCTCAACTTGCATAGCTTACATGGCAGGTGAACTTGTGCAAACAGGGCATCCGGCGACAGACCGGCCCAGTGGTTTGGGTATGGGGGATTGGCTTAGGGCTCGGATTAGGGCGTCTAGGGCACCTTACCCTCCGACAGTGCAACATGCCATGACCGTGTTGCATTCCACATCGTTCGAGATGCCTTTGCCTTGGGATACAGGTATGCTGTCTTCGGTTCTTGGGTCTAGGGGCTTCCTGCCGTCACCTCTTGTGCCTTGGAGTCCGGATCATGCCACCCAGGGGCCGCAGGTCTGCGAGACTCCTCAGCAGATAAGGTCTAGAAAGGAGCCGTGGAAGGCAGCGGTGGTCCACTCTCGGTCTTGGGCCGACCATGAGGACGATCGACGGACCGCGGCACTTGAAATGTGGCGGCTGATCATCTTGACTTCGGGAAAGGGCACTAGGGTTGGTAAAAATCTTGCAAAGATGCAGCAGGAGGGATCATCGGCAGATGCTGTAGATCAATGCCTTAGGGATGTGTTCTCGTCTAAGTCAACTTCTACGCTCAAGGCTAGGGCTGCAAGTTTGGCACATTATGCACGGTGGAGGGCATCCGTTGGTCTGGACCCAGCGGTCTTTCCTTTGGACGAGGCCGAGGCTTACTTGTACGTTTGCTTCTTGAGGAGTGAGGGGGCTCCCAGGTCCCGTGCACCGCGCTTCCGCGAAGCAATCAATTTTGCAGGCGCGATGCTAGGTGCAGACGTAAGCGATGCATCGAGCTCGGCGCGTATCCAAGGGGCTGCAAACCCTCAGGTTCAGGCTGTGGTTGTTCGCAAGAAGGTACCATTGACGGTTGCTCAGGTCAGGGCACTTGAGGAGTTTGTCTTGAATTCCGACAACGATCTAGCAGCGGTTTTGGCTGGCTACGCCTTGTACTGCCTCCATGGGAGGCTGCGCTGGAGTGACGCTCAGCACACTGAGGCAGAGCCGACATTGGATGTTCATGAGGGCAAGGGATTCTTGAACGCCCAGCTTTATCACCATAAAACTGCTAATCGGGGATCGTTGGCCAGGCATCGGTTGCTGCCAGTGTCCTGCATCTCGCCCGGTCTTGCGGAGGGCAGTTGGGCGGAAGCTTGGCTAGAACGGCGGCGACGGCTCGGTCTCAAGGCGTCAAGGGGCGTGCCTATGATGCCGAGGCCTCTGTGCACTGGGGGATTTGACTCTCTACCGCTTGATCCGTCTCTCGGGGCATTGTGGTTGCGTGAGGTTCTGAAAGAATGCCAACCCTTAGATCTGGACGTCAAGTGGGGGGACATTGCTACCCACAGCTTGAAGGCAACACTTTTGAGCTACATGGCCAAGGCGGGTGCTCCGGAAAATCTGCGTGCAATTGCGGGGTATCACTTGAGGTCCGCCAATTCCTCTACTCTCGAGTATTCCCGCGATACCCTGGCACCGGCATTGCATTTCTTGGAGTGTATGTTCTTGACCATAACGAGCGGGCTGTTTGCACCCGATGCTACCAGGGCTGGGCGCTGGACCCAGGGAGTGCGCTCGGTGGATGATGCGATCCGATTTCTGTTGGGGAAGCCGGCTCCAAGTCAGGCCGCGGGACCCGGCCCGGCCGAGGCTGCGGGGGCCGACGAGGCTGTGCAGTCTGATCCGGAATCGCCAGCGGAGAGCATTGGGTCTGCAGGTGAGGCCGAGGAGGCGGGTGTGTCCATTTTTGCGCTTGGGTCGGACTTGCAAGTGTCCGACGACGCCAGGCGGTCCGTTCGGTGTTTTCAGCATAAGCTTAGCGGAGTGATCCACGCAGCTAGGGACGATCAGCCTCCAGATGAGGGGGAGATGACAGTCTTCCGGTGCGGCCGCTTTGCAAACCGAAACTATGAGCTTCTGGACGAGGTGCCAACCATCATGCTTCACAAGTGCTCCTCGTGTTGGGGGGCCAAGGACTTGAGGCAGTGATGTGAGAAAACAGTCGGAGCCATGCTAGGCATGTTGCTTTTGTCCTGGTGCACTGTATCTGCGGTTGTGATGTGACAGACGAATCAATCCTTCTCATGGCGTCTCTCTCTCTCTCTCTTGGCTGTCGATGAGTAGCTGAGTCAGTTGAGGAGGGACGTCTCATGCAGGACGTACACTTGTCGTGGTATGCACGCAGGTCTAGTGCTCGAAGGTGGGCTCGCATGTGAACATGTTCGTACACGGAGATGCCATGTTGATCGTACATTTCAATTTTTCTTTATCGTGTGATTTCGGGCAGGACTTAGGACGTGGCGTAGATTCTTGCACCACCATGTCGGCCATTGATAGCGAAGCTGTTTTCCTTGCGAAGTGCACCCAGCTTGGATTACCTGAGGAGGCCAGGAACCAGTTGAAGCGCAAGGGATGGTCGACCTTCGGGACATTCGCCTTTTGTGTCCCGGGCGAGCCTGGCCGTATCGCTGAGGATGTGTTCAAGACCGGTGTTGCGACCCCGATTCTGGGGGCCGATGGCGATGAGCATCATGCTAAGCTTCGCCGGTTGCACTTTGAGGCGTATGCACTCACTGCGGCCGAGCTCAAGCGCACGGCCGAGTCGACAGAGTCTGATCAGCCGCGAAAGGTTCCGACGGCTGAGCTTGCGGCTAGGTACAATGTCTTGCAGCGCAGGGTGTCGCCTTTGCGATTAGTAGATAGGCTTGAACCTTCCCACTCCTTGGTAAACTTGGCGGCCCAAATGCTTGAGGATCAACGCGTGCGATACATTGAATGGTCAAAGTGCACAAGCCGGGCCCAAGAAATAAATCTTGTGAAGGAGGATTCCAGCTTAAAGGTCCTGCAAGGAGGTCGGACCGGTGCGGTCAAACTTGTGGATCCGGGATCTCGGCTCATGGCTGAGACTAAGTCCGACCTGGAGGTGATGCAAGCCCTCCGCAGGCGCGGCGTGGCTTATGAGCTTGCTGCCATCATGACGTTTGAGCGGCACGAGGAACTGATTGATCGCTTGTTCATGGAGTATCAGCGTGAGCCCATGCAAGGGTTCCATCCTGTGTCTCTGGCACAGTTGCAGGCCGCCGATCGTGAGATCCATGTGCGTATGGGTGAGCATACACGGGCGGGGCTGACCCCGGATGCGACCGGCGCTCTCCCGCTGGATGGGCCGCTTGGAAAGGTTCTGAGCGGACCGCACATCCATTGGATGCTTATGCCGCGCCAGAAGGGCTCTGCTTCAGTCGGGGATGCCACTGAAAAGCCTCCAAAGTTGCCAAAGCCACCGAAGAAGACCGATCTGTCGAAGGCGACGGACAAGGATTCAAGGGGCGACAAAGACCAGAATGCTGGCAAGGGGTCGGGGCCGAATGCGGCCGAAAAGCCGACCAAGCAGCGCAAGGTGCGCTTTGTTATGCCAAAGGCTTTGATAGGGGGAGTGCCCCGGGATGATAGTGGGAACAACATCTGTTTTGATCACAATCTGAAAAAGTGCCCCAACGCCGCTGGCTCCTGCCCGAAGGGGGCTCATGTGTGCTGCTACCCGTCGTGTTTCGACCCAAGTCATGTCTTCTCTCATCACAAGTCGTCTTGACTAGGGTCAGGACCACAAAACACGTCGCAGGTACGTGCAGCTGCGTCCACACCCGTGCATGACACTGCCAGCAGCCATTTTGGCAACCGCAGTGATTCGAATGCAGAAAAGTTTGCCGCGGCATGCGTCGGCAAAGTCGATGCTGCTACGATTCTTCACTTGTTGAGCCTTTTGCCATCCGAGGCCCCGTCTCGCGGCTCGCGGATTCAGGGCCACGGATCCGAGTTTTCTTTTACGACCGGCGCATATACTTTTGATCATGGTGAGCGACATGGTTTGCGACAGCATTGCCGCGAATTCCCACACACAACCAAACTCTTGAATGCATTTATGAGGCAACAGGCGCCAACTGCGGTTTATACCACCTTGGCCCTGTTTCGTGATCTTGAGACGCGGGTTCACTCTGACAAGGGAAATGACCCCCAGCAGCTGAATACCATCGTTAAGGTGTCAAACTTCTCCGATGGCGGCCTCTGGATCGCAGACCCGCAAGGCAAGGTGCCATGCCCTCTGTCCGACGAGCAAGCACATGGACGTGTCCTGCCGTTTAATGGACAAGTTTTGTCCTTTGATGCACAGCAGCCTCACTGTGTCATGCCGTGGGCTGGGGGTTCACGGGTGGTTCTCGTCGGGTTTACGGTTCGCAACCCTCATGGGATTAGCCCTGGCCATAGGGAGGAGCTTTCCGCTTTGGGTTTTCCTCTCCCTGGTAGGCGCCCTGACTCAACGGCCGGTCCCGAGTCCCCCTTTAAGTTAGGTGTCACAACGGCGTCGCAGGAACCAGGGCCGACAAACCCGGTCCCAGTCGGCCCGATGCGGCCTCAGGCAGCCGACCGTAACGCGCCACCTGAGTCCTCTGGTGTGTTGCGCAACAGTGGCAAGTCAATCAGACCTTCGTTCCTGGAGATTTTCTGTGGTTCCGCCGGTTTGTCTGCGGCTGTGCGAAAGTTGGGATTCCAGGTTCTCGGCGTCGATCACAAGCCCACCGCTAAGCATGCAAATGCACCCTTCATCAGCCTTGACCTGCGTGACCCTGAGCAGCAGGAACGCTTGTGGGTGGAGTTACGGCGCGCGGATGCCGTCTGGCTGGCGCCCCCATGCGGGACCTCATCTAGCGCTAGGTCGATACCTCTCGGCAACTCCAAACACGGCCCCAAGCCATTGCGGTCCAAGGAGTTTCCCGATGGGCTCCCAACACTGGCGGATGTGGATCGTGACCGCGTCAACAGTGCAAATTTGCTGTATGACTTTACTGCAAAGGTCTTCCGCTTCTGCAAGTCCAATGGCATCTTGTGCATTGTGGAGAATCCCGTCGGCAGCCTGATGTGGCGCACTTCGTGGTTCCGTTCAGAAATCCCAGATGGTTTCTGGCATGAGCTTCATGCCTGCATGTACGGATCTTCCAGGCGCAAACGCACGGCTCTGCTGGCCACTTGCACTTTGCCCGGCTTGATGCTGCAGTGTGATGGAGCGCACAAACATAGGCGATGGGGTCGGTCCCGCGACCCACAAACCGGGCAATGGAAGTATGCCACTTCCGAGGAAACGGCCTACCCTGCAGGCTTCTGTGCTGCCGCTGCTCGCGAGATCCAGCTGGCGCTTGAGCGTGTTGGCGTCTGTGTGCAACCGTCCGAATCCACTGACGGCGCAATCGCAGCGACCTTTGCACAGCGCCAGCCACGGCGGGGCCGTGGTGTCGTGGGTCCTGCTGAATACAAACGCCTGCACCGCATTATCTTGCCGCGGGACTTTCAGCCACCGGAGTGCGTTCCCGCTGATCCGCCGCCATGCTTGGTTGACATCCCTTCGGGTTCAAAGCTGCTATGGACTCGCGTCTTTGTGGATGGGGGAGTTGAGCGCCGCGAGGCAGAATTTGGGGTGTACCACACACCTCAAGAATTCTTGAAAGAGGCCATGGCAACCACGCATCCCTTTGATAGTGCCGTGTCCATTGACGGTCCGAACCTTAGGGCCATTGCCTATACTCTTGAGCACGGGGTTGCAGCTGTAAAGCAGAAGCGCCTCTCAGTCTTGGAGCATTATAGGGCGCTTGAGAAATCACTGCGGGAGGATGAACGTGAGCTTAAGCAGTCCATGGACCCAGCAGTCCGGGAGGTGATGGGGTCCAAAAATCTCCTGCTGTTCAAGCAGATGTTGCTGGATGCCGGTGTGCCTGACGAGCACCTCTTCGAGGATATGGTTCGGGGTTTTAGACTCACGGGCCCCTTAGAGCCTTCTGGGTTGTTCCCCCCTAAGTATAAGCCTGCGTCTATCTCGGTGGACGAACTCCGGCGCACGGCCTCTTGGTCGAAACACCTGATCGAGGCGGCCTGCCGGAAAGCGTCTAAGGACCCGGATGTTGCAAGGTCCGTTTGGGAAGAGTCTCTTGCTCAGGTGAAGAAAGGTTGGCTGGCCGGGCCTTTCACTTGGGAGCAAATGGACCAAAAGTATGGTGGCACTTGGGTGGCTTCCAAAAGGTTTGGGGTTTCCCAGGGTGACAAGGTTAGGGCGGTTGATGATTTGTCGCAGTTTCAGGTAAATGCCTCCGTTACTGAGACAGAGAAGATTCAGCTTGAAGGGCTCGATGATATTGTGGCACTTGCGAGGTTCCACCTGGGCTCCACAGTGGCCGGCACAAAGGTTTTCCGGCTTCCTATGTCCGGCGGAGGCGTTTACCAGGGCCGCCTGCATAGGGACTTCAGGGACGGACGGGCAAGAAATCTGAAGGGCCGAGCTCTAGACTTGCGGAGCGCCTACAAGCAGTTAGCCCGGCACCCTTCAGACGATTGGGCATCGGTGCTAGGTGTCCTGGACCCAGACACCGGCACCGTCTCTTACTTTGAGAGTGCCGCGCTCCCGTTCGGAGCGTCGAGCGCAGTGACAGGCTTTAACCGGGCCGCCCGGGCCCTGCGCATTATCATGTCGAGACTTTTGCTCCTTGTGAATACGTCATTCTTTGACGACTTTTGCCAACTTGAGATCGATGGTCTGACCGACTCGGCTGATCAGGCTGCGCTTGCATTGCTGGACCTTCTTGGCTGGGAGGTGTCTGATGGCGACAAGCTTAAACCTTTTGCTTCGGAGTTCACTATGCTTGGGGCCGTGCTATCCTTCAAAGATGCTGGCAGGGGCTTGATTAGGATTAGAAATAAACCTGGGCGAGTGGAAGAGATTGGCGACATGGTGGAACGCCTTGCCTCCGACCCCGGTGAGGGGGCGCGCTCTCTTCCTTCCCTTAAGGGCAAGCTCTTGTTTGCAGCCTCGCATGTGTTCGGCCGTTGCGCACAGGTGGCTACGCAGCTTATTCATCATGCTGAAAAACACCAAGGTTCAGGGGCCCATGCTTGTGTCGAGGCGGCTGTACGTCGCGCTTTGGATACCTTGAAGGCTGCTGGGGATCGTCAGGTGAACCTGTGGTCCGAACAGCCGCCTGTCATAGTTTTCACAGACGGGGCGTGTGAAGAACGCGGCTCTCAGGTGACGCATGGGGCAGTCATCGTGGACGTTGCATCGCAGACATATGAGGTGTTCGGGGGCCACATCCCAGGGCCTCTTGTTGAGGTGTGGCGTGGGTCCGGACGAGTGCAACTGATTTTCTTCGCAGAGCTTTATCCAGTCTTGATTGCGAGGCGCACTTGGGGAAAGGTGTTGAGGAATCGGAGGGCACTGTTCTTTGTGGACAACGAAGCTGCCAAGGCGGCTTTGATCCGAAATTACTCGCCCTTGGTTGACGCCGCCAACATGTTGGCGGATATTGCTGAGCTTGATGTCGTGAACCACTGTTTTCCATGGTACTGCCGGGTGCCATCAAAGAGCAACTTTTCTGATGCAGCTTCGAGGTTATCCTTTGGGGAGTATGAGGAACGCTTCCGAAAGGTGCAGCCCATGATCGAGGCAGCTTGAGGACGTATGCGCGGTGATGTGTTGATGGGGGAATGAACACCGCTTTGATGTGCAAGGGCCATCAGGGCATGTGAAGGTGTTGTACGGCGTCGGCTGTTGGCCGAGTCGAATCGATCGTGCATTCCCCCGTCGAATGAAAAAGATCGTCCGCCTGTGAGCGCATTTCAATATGATAACCTTTATGATCGGGATACGTTCCCTTTTCAAATAATGGATTTGAATCCGGAATAATTTTTATGATATGTTCCTGATTGCTCTTATATTTCATATGAAAGGATTGGCAAAGAAGGATAAAGACAATCTCACGATCCGTGATACCCTCTTATCCTCTAGCCAACAGGTGAGATGCTCACCGTCCTTTCGTTTGAAATCTTTGCTCATGTTTCTAAAAATTTTATGAAGGAAAGGTGTGGCGCTTGATCTGATGTATTGCTTTTCATGCCATGCCACTCTTCGACCTTTCGTTTTATGCATGGAACAAATTTTTGGAGATGCCCATGCATCGACATTCGATGACTCACTATGTTGATTATATCCTGCAGGATATGCGGCTCTGAAGGCAGAGCGATTTTGAAAGTTTTGACCCACCCTCCCACCCTGGGGGGGAATGAACACCGCTTTGATGTGCAAGGGCCATCAGGGCATGTGAAGGTGTTGTACGGCGTCGGCTGTTGGCCGAGTCGAATCGATCGTGCATTCCCCCGTCGAATGAAAAAGATCGTCCGCCTGTGAGCGCATTTCAATATGATAACCTTTATGATCGGGATACGTTCCCTTTTCAAATAATGGATTTGAATCCGGAATAATTTTTATGATATGTTCCTGATTGCTCTTATATTTCATATGAAAGGATTGGCAAAGAAGGATAAATTATATTTCTTATTGTGAAGGCACATAATGGCCTATATATTGTGAATGCCCTTATAACTTAGGGCGACAGGAATCAGAAGGAAATAAGACGAATCTCACCGAAGGTGATATAGTTTTATTTTCCTGATTCCGAATTTTGAAAGTTTGACTTTCAAGAGCCCGAAGTTTTCCCTTAATCGTTTTCCAGTCTTTGGAACGATGTGGAATCTTCCTTTGCCCGTGCAACATTACGGCTCCAGGGAGGGAGGTGGGAAACCCCGTAGCTGGGCAAAGGCTCAGTTTTTGTCCCGCCCGCCCATCCCTTTTTCACGTCGGGGTGTGGAGGGCCCGATGTGTTCGAGCAGTGAGCTCAGTGACCATCGGTGCTTCTTCTTACGACTCAGACTTTGTCGCAAATCCCATTGCAAAACGAAGGCTTCGGATGTCACGCGAATTTCTTTTATATTATATTTCTTATTGTGAAGGCACATAATGGCCTATATATTGTGAATGCCCTTATAACTTAGGGCGACAGGAATCAGAAGGAAATAAGACCGTTTGTCACCTGAACTTGCACAAGCAGCCTCTTCCAAAGATGCAACAGACGACGTGTTTGGCATTGTGTCAGCTTGTGTAGGTCTTCGTAGTCCTCACACGGTTGTGAAGCGCGCCAACGCGATCCTTGCATACTTGAGATGGTGTGACAAGGAAGGTTACGAGAAGCCATTTTGTGAGGATTCTGTGTGGAGCTTCATTTCCTACTTAAAGAAAGAGAAGGCAGCTCCTACCCGTGCAGCCTCCCTCATTTCAGCTTTGCGCTTTGCGAACTTCGTTTTAGGGCTGAGTGTGTCCGAGGTTCTTGCGAGCCGTAGGATTCTGGGCCTCAGTGCCCAGCTGGGTGTCAAAAAGAAAGCGACCAACCGAGCCCGGCCTCTCAAAGTGTCAGAGGTTCGCTTCATGCATGGCGTGCTAGAGGACGAGAGTGCACCAATCTGGGACCGAGCCATCTGTGCCTACCTTCTTCTTGCACTCTACGCAAGAGCCAGACACAGTGATCTGGTTCTTGTAGAAGAAGTGATAGCAGACTTTGATCGCCAGTGCAGCGGATGCCTAGAGATCCGCCTCAGATTCCATAAGACGGCACAAACCATTGCAAAGAAAAATGATTTGTTGCCGGTTATAGTTTCAAGCAAGGGCATCGTGAAAGGCGACTGGCTGGGGTTGGCTACTGATGTATTTGAGCGTGTGGGCCTCACCTTGGATGGGACTGTCGGCGCGGGCCTCTTCAGGCCATTTAGGCCCGGTGATACTGCCCCAGGTCGACGAAGCCTAAGGTCGTCGGAGTGCACAACCATGTTGAAAATGGTCCTTGAGCGGGCCGGGTCAGATGTGTCAATGGTCACCTCTCACTCGTTGAAGAGAACCCTGCTTGATTGGGGCTCCAAGTTTTGTCTTGATGACGGGATTTTGGCTTTGCTTGGGCGTCACAGTAAGTGTGTCAAAGGAAGCGTGCCCGTCTATGCTAAGGAGGAAGCCTTGAAAGCTGTTAGGGCCCTTGAGCCCATGTGCCAAGCAGTGGCCGCGGGATCGTTCCACCCAGATGCTGCCCGAGCCTTGTACTTTACGGATCCCCCAGCGCCAACTGTGTGTCTATTCAGTATTTCCTTGCGGCAACTATCCGAGAGGCAGTCCTGGCTTCGGGCATTCATATTGGCCAGTATACATCGTGCATCGCTCGGAATGCCCGCGACCATGATCAGGATTGCTTCGGCCACCCACTGTTGCACGGACTATATCAGGTTATGCGGGCCACCAGCCTGTAGGCATGCAGTGGACCTGTTGTCCCCTCGTATGTCCCAGGATGCCTACCATGATGTGCCAGGTTGGACCACAGCTCATTCTGCCTCTGACGTACACTTTTGCAGCCTGCATACAGCAATGACCCGGGGAAGGCTCGACCTGTCCTCACGTGTACCCTCCGAAAGCTTCTGCTGGCTAGCAACAGATGCATGTCAAGGTCTGTGGCTGCCTGTGATCGCGGACCCTGGCCCACACCCTGTGCTTGCTCACCCTACTGTCCTGCTGTCCATTGCTCACTGCCCAGGTCTGTGGCCAGCCGATTCTATCAGTCGACACCAGCAGGCTCGACTGCTTCAGCAATCACAATGGTCAGATGTGACTCGCGGTGTGCAAGCCCTTGCACGTTCCGACTTGCATGTTGCTGTTTGCATTTGGGATTACAGAGGTTGCTATGGCCAGTATGTACACAATCAGGCCCTACAGCGATATTGTCGATTCCTGCATTCTGTGATATCTGTCATCTCGGAACACAGATGGTGGTGCTGGCCATACTTATTCCGTGTAGCCTTAACGAGCAGAGTTGAACCATTTTGCGTGGTGCTTGCAAGCATGGGGAGAGATTCTCGCAGCGCTCCGAAGCCTCATGACTCTGCCGACATGGTGGAACCTTTGGCGAAGCGGGCTAAGGTCAGAGATGCACTGCCAAGACGTCGACCCATGCAGGACTCCGACCAGCATAATCAGACTCCCTCTTCGCCGATGACTCGCACCACTGCTGGTGCCTCTGCCAGTACATCAGCTGGTGAGCTTAGGCCACGTGAACCTTTGCCACGACATCGGCAGCTACAAGCCAAGTCAAAGACAAGCAAACCCGCCGATGGCCCAGGGAATGCAGCCGTGGCAAGTACACCAAACAATGATCCGACAGCTCGTGGACCAGTTGCATCCAGTATAGTGGTCAGTGAATTCTCGGACGGGGTCCTTATTAAACAAACCGGACTTCGGGCTCGAAGCCCATCCTCTACTCCCGGGACAGGAAGCTCAAGAAGACCTCCTACGCCACCAAGGTGTCTACGTGAAACTGCCCGTGGTATATCGGTCAGTACTCAGACAAGGCGACCCCCCAAAATGGTGAACAAGGCGGTGCAGGTGGGCAGATGCGGTCTCAAAGTCCAGTCCAAAGCTCGTCCCCGAAGGCCAGATACAAATGCTACAGACAACCCGGAGGAGACTCCTGCTCCTGGTCCAAAGGACACTCGTGCCAAACATGATGATCTTCGCCGTCAAGCCGCTGATGCAGTGCTGACTTCAGCCCCCTGGAAAAGACGCCAAAAGGCCAGAGCAGGTGCCCGCGAGCCTGCCAAGGATGGTGTTTCCGAGGGATCTGCTCGAACGACCACAACCTCAGCAAACCCTGTGGCCAGTATGACTCCTCTTCCGACTACGACAACCTCGCGCCAGGATGAAGCCACTGGGAAGAATGCTGCAGCATCGAGTACTCCGAGCAAGCCCCCGAGCAAGGTCCCATACACAGCTGCTGGTGCCGACCCACAGGAGGAAATCATGGAGCTCCGCTTCGATCAACTTCAGGAGATGCAAAGATCCGCAGCCAGCAGGAGACACAGTGTTATACAGCGTGCACGCATACAGCAGCAGCAGAATGCATCTTCGAGTACAGATGTTGCGGATGCTTCGCTATCACATGCACCTACGACGGTCTCAAATGCCTCCTCTGCATATATGAAAAAGCGTCCACCGTATGCAGCCCTCAGCTGTCTCGCATGCTTTATTCTGTGCGGCTACATTGCACCTGTGACAGGTCTGTACATGGTCCTCCTTATGTATTGGTGGACCTTTGCTGGCATCGTGCCAGCCCGGTCAGCTCCCCTGGCAATCGTTGCTCGATGTCTGCGTGGTGCCTACAAAATGCAGTGTCCTCTTATCCACATCTTTCTGTCAGGTCCGGTGATCTTATGGATGGTTATATACCTGCTGCAAGAGTTCTGGTCTCAGATTCACTCCTGCCTTGCAGAGACTTGTTCGTACCTGCTACAACAGCCACTACGATCACAATGGCGGAACGTATACGATCAGGCCCCTGCTGTTGCCACAGTGCTTTTGTGTGGTACATTTGTTGCCCGGCATGCTACCCGACACACCTGTCACTGGAGTACATACATTGTGCAAACTGCCGTCTCTTGGATGCGATACCTGCACCCTTGGTGCTGCTATACATGTGGATGCCTCTATTCATACACGAGAGTCTGCATCAGGTTACTCAGTACCACTACACTCCGAAACACCCCCCCACCAGTTCGCTATTGCCGCCCCGGTCCCAAGTCCGGGGGCCCCTGGGGACTATGGATGCTCATCCTACTGTCTCAACTTCTTAGAGTCTCAGGGGTAGAAGCGAGGGTTGGAGCACCTTCGGTGGGTGCTCCGGGAGCCGCGCAAACGGTGCTCCCCGGTCGCCATCAGGCGAAGCTACACCGACAACGCAAAGAACAAGGAGACTTTATCGTCAAACGCAGTTTTCTCAGAGCACAACGTCGATTGCAAAAGCATGGGACCACATGGTATCGCAATCGCTTATACACACACCACGATGAGCTAAAACCTATACCGCTCCGTTCCGGTCCACAGCCGAATGATCCCAATCAGGCTCGGTATGCCCGGCCTCGCACTGCTGTGCCAAACCTGCCATCCTGGCCACTTCAGCAGCCCGCACAATCTGTTACTCCCATTCAGTCCAGTGATGTTGGCGTGGTTACTCTTAATGTTGGCGGCTTGAGCAAGGAAGGATATGACGAATTGGCACAATGGTTGAATCAACCATCTACACTTCGCAATGTTCAGATTGTATTCTTGCAGGAGACCTGGAGAAGTGCATCTGAATTCTCCACGCAGCATTGGCACTGGATCCTGTCAGGTGCCGGTCAAACTGCCAAGGCCAATAATGGCAGTGGTGTAGCTGTACTGATCAACAACAAGCTTGCCTCATCGTCACACATTCGCTACCAAGAATGGCTCCCAGGCCGTCTCCTCGAGGTTCGCATTACGGAGGACAAGCGACGTCCTCTTCTGCACAGACCCATCACCCTTGTGTGCGCGTATCAACACTCCAGAATCTCTCACAGTCCTGAGGTGTACGCTAAACGGCTCAGGTTCTGGGAGAAGCTCCAAAAATGCCTGGATGCAGTGCCGACCCGGCACACCCTGATCTTTGGTGGTGATATCAATACTGGTATCTCCCCGATGTCGAGGCTCGTCGGCAAAGGTGCTCAAGTCAGTACCAACCCTGCTCAGGACCAATCCGAATGGCAGGACATTGTACAACAGCACAGTCTTTGTCTTCTGAACACCTGGGGATCGCCGGCCAAAACTGCTACATATGTGGGTACGGAATATTCTACACTGATTGACTTCCTGGGTGTTCGAGAGAGAGATTCCGGGCATCGCGCCAAACTATCCAGACCACAATCACAGATTCACCTGTTTTCTTGGCGGTCTGGGGCCCGACACCTGCCTGTGTATTCGGTTATCACTCTCAAGAATCCGTATCATCAAGCAGTGACATCCTCGACACAGTCCCACACAGCCCGTATGGACCATCTAGGCATGGCTCACACACTGCTGCACGATCCTCAGCAAGTAGAGCAATTGCGCAGTGTTGTCAGAAACCGGCTGACTTGTGCTTTACAGGACCAGCCAGTGGATGCAATTATGCACCCTATGCACATTGATGCCATCCTGCGACACGGATCCAAGGACCTCTTCCCGGGCACACACCTCGGCTCTCGTCCGACGGAAGTATGGGATAACGAACAGACTAAGCTCTCGCTGAAACATGTTTGGCAGGCACGTGCGCAGCTTCGCCGACATACCCTTGGGCCTCCACTTCGTGTTGCCTTTCATCTATGGCGTGCTCATTGGCGACTTGTCAAAGCCCGCAAAGCGCTGCATTCGCAGTCCAACAAAGCGCGACGTGATAAATGGGACCAACAGCTCACCGAGGCGGAGGAGGCCTATCACAAACATGACTCTCATTCTTTCTTTGCTATTGTGCGTAGACTTGCACCACGTCGTCCACGACAGCGCATTATGATGCGTAACAAGGATGGAACACTATGCACACCACAGGAAGAAATTGGGCTGATTCATGACTACTGGCGCGGTGTATTTGATGTTCCGACACTCCCTAAATGCTCCGGCTATCTGTGGCATGGCCTCAACATTACCACAAAGGAGGTGGAAATGGCCATCAGCAAATTATCAATGCGTAAAGCCTCGGCCCCAACCTCGGCTCCGCTCTGCAGCTGGCGTGCTTGTGCTCCTGACATTGCTCCTCTTATACAGGAATATTTGGCACAGCATTGGGGTGAAGGAGAACATGCAGGTGACGAGGACATTGCTAGGTCCTGGCTTGTCTTTCTGGGCAAGCCCAATAAACCCAGCAGCAAGCCCGAAAACCTTCGACCTATTGCTCTACAACCGGCTCCTGCCAAAATCATGGCCCTCCTTTTACGCTGGCGACTGCAACCGTATGTGGAGCAGCTGCTCCACCAATGTCCACAGTACGCATACACCAGAGGCAGAACCACTACGGATGCAATATCCCGTATTGCCCAACACTGTGATTCTGTTCGAGCCAAAGTCAAACAGCAGACACTTTCACTCCATGAACGACGACAGGGCGCTGTACGAACCGTATGCACCGGTGGTGCTCAGCTGACTGTTGATTGCTCCAAAGCTTTTGACAGTTTACCTCGTTGCACTATGATGACCATGTTAACATGGGCTGGTGTACCACCCGACTTGGCCACTGCTATCATACAGGTCCATCAGGCTGGCACTTATCGTCATGGAAACGTGGACGACCCTGAATCCTGAATGGATATTGACAGTGCTCAAGGCGTGCGGCAAGGCTGTATGCTTGCCCCATGTTTGTGGCTATTGTTCGTAACATACCTCTTCCATCACCTGGACACGACAATGGGAGGAGCTGCTTCATGGACATGCCAGCACTCCACTGCCTTCGCCGATGATCTTCACTTCAAGTGGGATCTTGACGATCCCAAAGCCCTGGATCGGATGAAGATGGAGGTCGCCACGGTACTCTCAGTGCTCAAATCCTTTGGTCTTCAGATCAGCGCAGAAAAATCCACCATGTTGATCGAGATTCGAGGAACAGCAGCTGATGTTTGGTTGTCCAAGAACGTCTACAAAGATGATGAGAACAACAAACACTTTCGTTATGACACGTTTGCCAAGCTCTCTATCCCGCTTGGTACCCAATTCAAGTATCTTGGGGTCATATTATCCTATCGCAATTACGAGCTGGCCAGTGTCAAACATCGTGTACAACAGGCTGCCATACACCATTCCCGTCTTCGTCGCATTCTGCAAGGACGCGGGGGCATCAGCCGGCATCAACGACTTCGACTCTGGCGCATCTGCATTCAGACAAGCCAGCTCTACGGACTCGAGGCCACAGGTGTCACAGAGGCAGGGATCAAATTACTACATGTTCAAATGCTTCGTCACCTCAGGGCCATTACAGGTCGACCCAGGCATCTTGATCGCAGCACTGATCAGGAATTGTTGGACAGTCTCAAAATGGCATCGGTCAGGCAGATGCTATCTCAACGACTTCAGTCGGCAAATACCCGTCTTTGCTCCAACACTGATCTGCCATGCTATGACAAAGACAATATACTGCGACGTATTCAGGCCTTACAAGCAGGTATTGACCGACCGATCTGCACACAGCGGGTCTCTACCGCCTTGACTACACCTGTACAGCAGACTCCGCATGATGATGTTACGCCGCAGGAGCAGAAAGTGCGACTCCAGGAACTACCCGCTGACACCAAGCAATTTCGATGTCAGGTATGCGGTCAGTCTTTTCCGTCTTTACATTTGGTAAAGACCCATGAAGGAAAAGCCCACAAGATCTTGGCACCGAAACGGGAGCTGCCCCAGGATCGCTCCGTCTACTCCATCAACGGACTTCCGCAATGCCGTTTTTGTGGCTACAAATTCACGAAATGGAGTGGCCTCCAAAGACACATACAGCGGAACGGCTGCCCGATTCTTCGCCATGAAGATCCCGCCACCTTTGCCGCAACCGCGCCCGCGACTACAAACAAGGCTGAAGATCCTCTTCGTACTACACAACATGCATGGGTGGCCGACTCGACCATTGCCACTACCATGCCTTCAACTGGAGATCAACCTCTGGTCCAAGACGCGCAGCTACAGCAGGATGCCAGCAAGTACACGTGGACCAAGGTGCTTCACATGTGGCGTACAAAACATGACTTCAAGAATGTGTGTGTGTTCTGTGGTCAATGGGCAGTGGATGCCAGTGCTCTCAAACAGCATTATGCCAAGCAGCATCAGGCATTAACCAATCCGTGGATCGCAGCATATCGGGCCGAGTGTAAGCAGCTAGCTAAAGTTGCCGTATCTAAGTGCCGCTTCTGTGGTACCACCACCACGGATGCTCGTCAGCATGCCCACAAATGCATACATGTTTTTCAGGCCTACATGCTTACCAGCCACGTCTCAGGTCGAAATGGAGGACATGCCGGACTTCGATGCCGACAGCCAGATCCAGAGCCTCCTCGGGGGCCTCTCCTCAGTCGTGGATCTCAAACCACTTCTGAATCCAACGCCAACACCGGCGCGCAATCAGTCCCATCTGACCAACAAGCGTCCGAGGGCGGAACAGTGGACTCGAGGCACCGGGAGCAAGGGCGGCGGCAAGGGCAAAGGAGTGGCCTCCAACGGTACTTTATCACAGGAGGATCTTCAACAGCTCCTCAGGCAGATCGTCGTCCTTCTCCTACGCCAAGGCGACCAACTCAATCGGCTACAGACGGATACCGGATACTATTTGGTCTTTCAAGTCCCGGGCGACGCCACCATGGTACCAGTTCTGATTGCGGGAGCGCTCGAATGGCGCAATCAGAAGAAGGCCGACCCGACCAAGCTCACCATGTCTCTCCGCATAGCCCTCATCGGACTCTTCCTCAAGGAGCTTCAGATGCGTCTGGGAAAGATCCGGGCCAACGACCAACTTCAGGAGAAGCTCAAGGAGCAAGGCCTGATGACGGACGAAGGTGCTTGGACATATCGCCAATGGTGTCCAAAGAACAAAGCACTTCAGCTACAGCTCAGCAGGGATCCGATCAAGTGGGACGTCCTGATGACACACATCACGAATGCTCTCCAAGGACTGAACAATCAGGACCACATCACACGTTTTCAGGCGACCAAAGCCTTGGAAGAAGGACAGATGGGTCCCACCCTTCCATTCCTTCTGGACATCTCGCTCAAGCCGAGTGCGTGCCGTCTACACCAGAGCATGAGGGCATTGGTGGACTGCTCGGCCATGGAAGCAGTCGGCGCACGTATTCGACCCCAACGAGCCAAGCGATCTCAGCTCCAGGATCAGCTCCAGGAGTGGCTGCGAGGCAGGTTCTATCATGTCGGTTGCACAATCCACACAATATCTGTTATGCCAACTCTTTCTTCATTGCCCTTGCATGGCTATTTGGTGAGGTCTCGATCTCTGAACATGCCCAGGCTCTATTTCAGATCTTGTGTTTTATCTGCCAGCACGGTCTCAAATTGCTGTGTCTGCCTGATCACACGGCTTTTCAGGCATTGATTCAGGAATGGCCACATTTTGACCGACAGCAGGATGTGGCAGAGTTTGCGCAACATGTCCTCGATCGTACATGGCCGGTTCAGAATGTGCTTCCAATGAGTACTTGGCAGTCTCGTGACGAATCAGGATTCTCAACCGATGAAGGTCAGCACCTCATTATGCTTCCGATGCCCTCTCGCGGTTCAAACTCTGAGATTCAGCTGTCAGGGCTGATACAAGCCTGGGCTCAGCAGTCTCCTGCACCAGGGCTGTGGCCACTGCCTCGGTTTGTGTGCCTGCAGCTTCTTCGCTTTTACACGGTTGGTGCCAGAGTTCGCAAAGACCAAAGAGCAGTAACGATTCCGCTTCAGGTACGCTTACCAGTATTTCAAACCGAGATTGGACCGCGACCAGCTTGGCGTATGTATAGACTCCGAGCCCTCATTGGGCATCACGGCTCCACTCCGCGCTCAGGTCACTACAGAACGCTGCTGATTCACTGGGAGTCCACCCAGGAAGATCCCCAGTTGTATTACACAGATGATTCCTGTATGGCGCGTCGCCCCACAAATGCACAACTCCGTGTGTTGATGACTGAAGTCTACTTGGTCTTCCTGGAGTGCGTGGGGTATGTCAGCTCACTGTAAATGCGGTAAAACAACCACTCGGGTGCTGCACTGTACATGCTTGCATGCTTTGCATTATATCAGTGCCCTCTTGATTCGCCGCCCTTTTCCGGCTTTTCATGCATATGCCAGCTTTGAGCGTGTGTGCAGGTCATTATGCTTATCTTTTCTACATGGCGACTCACACTTTGGTGGGAACACCGACGGATTCAGCTGCAGTTCCAAGCCTTGATGCTGCCTGTATGCCCTACAATTTACTACATGACGTGCCTTTCGGTATTTATCAGTCCAGACAGCGTGCCCAGTGGATGGATGCCAGAGGCACCTACAATTCACTTGATGATGTACCACACTGTCTTCAGAACCGATGCACGACATCCAGTTTTCAGGCACGCATGGCATCCAGCAGTGGTTCACATGGCACACCAGCGCAGCTATTGGTCCTGGTTCCGGCAACATCTGATTCTCTGGATGATGTACCACATTGTCTTCGAGACCGAGGAAGTGAACCTATCTCATGTATCACGATGGATATGCTACATACCTGGGCCGATCAGCCTGCATCTCAACTTCTTACTCCCCACCACCTTGCTCAATTTTTGCATCGATGGGGTTTTTCAGCCGTGGATATTGTTGAATGGGGCATTTATTACTACTTTGAGCAGGCTCCATGTACAGATGCAGAGTGGAAACAGGTGCTTCTTCAGCAGCTACACCGCAATGTTTATCAGCTTTCCATGTCTGGTGCCATATGCTATTTCAAACAACTGCTAGTGGGTGCCCATCGGGAGGACTTTTATGAGGAGCTTTACACGGTGGCATGTCGTCGCATACAGCTGGATGATCCTACTACTACTATGACCACTGTTCTTCACTGGCTATACATACTGGCCACGTATGGTACCTTGGTCTGATGCCTCTACAGCTGTTTCTTTGACTGCATGACCTTTACAGTCTGGTGGGCCATGCTATCTATCAGCTTCCGATCCACTGCTCTTCAATCTTCTGTATGGTGCCTCTGATTTCGATGGTGTTGCTTCATCAACGGTCTTTTTGCAGCATGGGACTTCTTTGTACATGTACATACGGTCGAGTAGTCCAGTCCGTCTGGTTAGACCAATGCCATGTGTACCAAGGTCTAGTAGTCCAGTTCGTCTGGTTAGACCGCGATGTATATACGATCGAGTAGTCCAGTTCGTCTGGTTAGATCGATGCCATGTGTACAAAGGTCTAGTAGTCCAGTACGTCTGGTCAGACCGATGTGTATATACGATCGAGTAGTCCAGCACGTCTGGTTAGATCGATGACTTGTGCTCTGTCTCACCTTTGTTAATGCTGACGTTGGTTTTTTTTAAAACCACTCCTGCAGTGTTTGCCCACATGTGGCTAGCCCGGTGGGATTCACTGCTTTTGCTCACTCTGAGCCGATGCCACTGTGCATTGTAGCGTAGCGCGAGACTGCTGGACAGTCTGCGTCATACAAAGTACAAAAAGTACACCAGCTCTCGCGCCCGGGAAATTGCACTCCCTGGGCCTTCTCCCGCCCCGCTGCGATCACTCACTTTTCCCGACGGGCTGCCCCATCTTTCTGGTCTCAACCTGGTGCGCGTCAACCGAGCTAATCAGCTGTACCACTTTACAACTACCATCTGTGCTGAGGCCCATCACCGCAACCTCATCATCGCCGTGGAAAATCCGCGGAGCAGTCTCTACTGGTCCACCAGCTTCTGGGCTGCTGCGGCCTCCTTTTGTCCTATGCATACTGATTTTCAACACTGTGCCTTTGGCGGTCGCCGGCCCAAGTGGACTCGCCTTTGCCACAACCACCAAGCCTTCCATGCTTTGCATCGCGTCTGTCCGGGCGGTGCCTGTGCTGCCCAACATTTGCCGTGGGGTCGTTCTGAAGACGGCTCCTTTGCCACCGCCAGTGAAAGCGCTTACCCGCCGCAGCTAGCCACCGCCATCGCTCAGTGCTTTGCTCGAGCAGTTACTTTTCTGCCTGAGGCCGAGCCCTCCCTTGCAGCCATGCGGGCCACTTCCGGCCTTCAGCCCAAAGCTTCGGCGGTGCCGCCCCTCGTCCCCGAGCACAAAGCTGTGCTTGTGATGACCGGCCCAAGTGATGCCACTTCCTTGCCGACCCTTCGCGCCCGACTGCCCGAGCCGTGGTCTGACTCGCGCTTCGCGCCTGCTGGGCCCGTACCAGCCCACAGTCAATTACTCCGAGCGGATAAGAAGGGAAGTGATCGACTTGAGTTGGCCTGGGGCATATCTTGGTCTCCAGAAGAGTTCATACATAAAGCGGTCCAAGCGGGACATCCCAAAAAGTTTGACTCGCTACTGCCTTCCGCACTGAGCCACAGCATAGACGTAAATGCAAAAACAACGCCGGCCGATAGAGCCGGCCTCAGAGCCGAATGGTTTGCAAAGTGGACCAAACGTGCGGCTGAACTTTCGGGGGACGAAAAGAAGCTCAAGAGCTCTCTCCCCGAGTACGCCAGGAAGATCGTCCTACCAAAAAGGATTTTATTGTGGCGTGAGATTCTAGAGGATCTCAAATATCCTGACATTGGAGTGCTGGACGAAATGCTTGAAGGAGTGCACTTGACAGGTCAGACCCCTTGCACAGGGGTCTTTCCTGGGGCCTTTAAGCCAGCAAAAAGGACTTCGGAACAGCTGCGCTCCAAAGCTAGTGAGTCCCGCCAGAAGATCATCGATGCGATCAAATCGCAGGGTCACCTGGATGAAGCGCTAGAGCAAAAGGTCGACGAAGAAGTGGAACTCGGCTGGCTGTCCGAGCCGATAGACCCGGCCGATTTGCCGAGCAGTCAGGTAAGATTCGCTTGATAGACGACCTGAGTGATAGTGGTGTTAATGGGTCTGTCCAAACCACCGAGAGCCCCAAACCTCAATCCCTTGACGTGGTGGCCGCCATGGCCTTGGCCTGTCTTAGACAGCTGCCTGGGACTCCCATGCTAGGGAAGACGTTCGACCTAAAGAGCGCATACAGGCAAATGTTTGTGTCTCCGGACGACCTCAAGGAAGCTTACATTGCATACTTCAGCCACCGCGAACGCAAAGTGATCGTAAGGCAAATGCTTGCGCTCCCCTTCGGGGCGACCAGAGCGGTGTTCTCTTATTTGAGAGTGGCGCACTCTATGTGGTACATTGGGTGCTGGGCACTGAAGCTGATTTGGTCGCATTTCTTCGACGACTTTCTGAGTCTGGCGACTCAGATCGAGGCCAAAGCAGTTGACCTGGCGATATCATCATTGTTCAGGTTGCTAGGGTGGAAAGTCTCGGAGGACAAAGACAAGCCCTTTGCTGAGAGTTTTGCTGCGCTTGGGGTACGGGTTAGCTTTGAACGATTTTTGCAAGGGGAAGTCCTGTTCCATAACACGGACAAGCGCATCTTGGAGGTCTCGGCCACGCTGAGCCATGCAGCTGATGATCCGGCTCTCACCCAGAAGGACCTGTCGCGCATTCGGGGTCGCATGGTCTTCGCAGGGGGCCAGCTCTTCGGAAGAGCCGGCCGGCTATGCGTGGCCGCCCTAGCTGGTGAAGGTTGCTCGACCAAGGCTAACCTTAGCAACGACGCAAAGCAAGCCATGCTTCAGTTTGCCGACCTGCTTGAAGCCAATTGGCCGCGCGTGCTGAGAGATGTGTCGGCAGATCCTGTGTATATCTTCACTGATGCCTCGTATTCCGAGGTGAGTGGAGGTACTTTCTGCGGCATAGGCGGAGTCTGCTTTGACCACAAAGGTCATCCCCTTGGATTTTTCTCCGAAGAATTGTCCTGTTTCCAGAAGCGTCTACTAGGAGAGGGCAGGTCCAAGACCATCATCTTCGAGGCGGAACTTGCAACAATCGTAATCGCTTATGTCTTATGGAAAGATTGGCTTAGGGGAAAACCTGCTGTGATTTTTGTGGACAATAACTCCGCTAGAGACGTGTCAATCAGTGGCACATCACGGAATGATGTAGGCAAATCGCTTGCATCACTTCTCTTAACAGTGGAATCCTTAGCCAAAACTTTTTCGTGGTTCGCTCGCGTTCCGTCACCAGCGAACATCGCAGACACGCCTTCGCGTGAAGTGCTGAAAAGCTTCACCGTGTCAGGCCGCCCCGTCCCTCACTTCCCGTGCGAGGACATCGTGTCCGAAGTCTTGGGCATCTTAGTCAAATAATACAACGGTTAAGAAGGGGAAAATTCTTGATTTCGGTTTACACATCCTTTTGCAGGCGATGTTTGTTCCGCCAGGCGATGACGTTCCGCCATCTGTAGCTGCAGGTTTGAGGCTAAATGCCTCATGGCACCAAGGTATCCCTTGTCACCGCTGGTGAAAAACGACAGAAGCTTTCAGGAGTGCTGTGTGTGTCGTGTCTCTCTTGAGTGTGAGCGTCGCAAGCCAAGCCACTAAGCCTTCAAGTGCGACCCCTAAATCGGCAGCCGTTTATGCTCAAGATATTAAGGAGGCCGTCAGTGCGAGCGCTGATAGTCCCTTAATATCTTGAGCGTGAATTTTCTTGAAAAATCGGGCCTGGATTTTTAAAGAAAATGGCTGCCAAAAGTTTTCTGTAGTGTGAGCGCCAAGTGTTGCTTTATTGCATCCTCTTGTCACCCGCGCTCGTCATCTCAAGGCATCTCAAAGCCGGTTTTGCACAAACGTCAGTGACACTATGCTGGACTTCACTGAACAAGCCACAAGTCTTGCACATGTAAGGTTGCAGAAATTTTTCTTTCCCCGCCCACCCACACCGATTGCATCTCAGACCTTGCGGCGAGTGACGCCCCTGCAGCCGAGTGCCGCATGCGTGAATCCACTCCCTTTGCACACCCCTGCCGATCCGGTCAGCGCGACCGCGGGTGCTTCGCTCATAATGCGTTCTCGGGGAAAATTCTTGATTTCGGTTTACACATCCTTTTGCAGGCGATGTTTGTTCCGCCAGGCGATGACGTTCCGCCATCTGTAGCTGCAGGTTTGAGGCTAAATGCCTCATGGCACCAAGGTACCCCTTGTCAC